GAGAGACACGGGATTGGCTGAGGCCAGGTGGTCCAACATGTCTGCGCCCTGATCCGACGCCACACCACACCACACCACACCACACACACTACACTAATGTCTCAGCGTGAGGGTTATTCCGCACATGATTCCTCTGGTGGTGGTGCATTGATCACAGACAAATCCTTCATTTTCGAGAATGGTGCATTGTTTGTTCAAGTGCATGGATTGGTGTGCACTTGGCTAGGAATCTTACCCCCCCGTTCAAAGTGGGTTATTTATGGATGTGCACGGTTTACTCTACTTGCCGGTAGTAGCGTTGAACTATTTGGAACTCTGATTTCCCCGGGGAACCTCGGGCATTATAATGTTTATTCGCCTTCTACACACGTTCCTATTGATCTGAAGGTCCCCGAGTCGGTGACGGGATCAATGGGTTTTCCTTTAAATACGATAATTTCCCCTCTTGCTAATGTCACCAAATATTCATCAGAACTTCTGGAGGATTTTTTAAATAAACTGGTTGATATGGTTGGTAGCTTGCATGTTTCGTCGGCCGCTGTGCTGCTGCAATCCTTATCGTCCCCTGTCATCGATTCCATCAAATTGCTTCGACGCTTTGGGTGTCTTTTTTCTCCCCCGAATTCGAGTTTGCTAACAGAAAAGCTTGTTATTCGAGGTGACACTTTTTCTTTTGAGTTGGCCTCTGATGGTGAGGGATTTTTCGAAGCCCCTGTGGTAAGCATGATTTCACAGAAACTCTTATCTGAAAATGGTAAATCCTTTCCACTTTGAATAAATAATATCAGGTTTGAAGAATCCGAAAATCCTCCTCTGTGGTCCCAGTAATTCAGGGAAGTCTACTCTTATGCGATTGCTTGTGAACCGATTACTTTCTTCTGGTAAAACGGAGGCAGTCGTTGTATTGGATTGTGATGTGGGGCAATCTGAATTTACACCAGCTGGTATGATCAGCCTTACTTTTGTCAGAAAGCCTCTTCTCGGACCACCGTTCTCACATCCTTTAGAAGGAGTTTACAAGCCGGCAAGGTATATTGCGTGCATAAGGCTATTCCCCGTGGTTCTGTATCCTTGACATTTGACGTTAGCAAATTATTTTCCTCTGGCTTATTGTTTTTGACGCATTACGATTTTCCCTATTTCATGTAGTTTTATGGCTTAAATTTCATGATGTTTTTTACGCATGCGTGGGTAACTTCTTTTACTAGCTTCGTTAATCTTCCTCATTTATCGACTCTTGAACTGTGTAAGCCCCATTTTGTGCTCTGCACTTTACGAACACTTTTGAGGTGGCAAATCAGTTGCAAATCTTCTCACATTCAAGTTGTTCCATTTTTGTTGCGTTTGTAGACAATGTTTTTTTGGTGGTGCATCTCCTTCTGTTAATCCTGCCTTCTATGTCCGGTGTTTGCGTTACGTATTTGAGGCCTTTGATGAACTGAATGGGACACAATATCCCCTTATAGTTAATACGATGGGCTGGACACAGGGTAGGACATTCATCTAATCATTAGCTGGGCTATATTCCTCCCATACTTTGTTTCATTTGTCCTTTTGTAGGCCTTGGGTTGACACTAATTATTGACCAGATTAAATTATCGAGACCAGACATGATTGTGCAGATTTATCAAGACGGGGCAAAAGCAAATTCGCGTCAGAATTTACCCCCTCTTACTCCTGAGTTTATGAGGACTTCAAAAGGCTTGGATTACGCTGTGAGTGTTGTTTTTATTTGTGGTGATAGTAAACTTTTGATGTCTTCGACCATTTTTTGCAAAATCATAAAGGAACCGTCATCTTACCTGATTAGGCTCTCTGTAAATTGCATCCCTAGTTCTGACAAACAATGTCACAAAAAGCTGAAACCTTAGTAATCCATCTTACAGTATATCAATCATGCTAGTGATTTTGCTGCTGTAACCTTCCACGTTGTTTAAATTACGGGGAGCATTCCTTGAAATTTATAATCCAAACATCCATACGCTCAATTTATTTGGAAATAGTTGCCGACCAAATTAGCTTGCAATTTATAAAACAGCTAAGATAGGAATGGTAAGGTGAAGACCAGTGTTTTATGAACCCTGTGAAAATGGTAAAAAATATAAATTTTTTACCAATGCGGAAGAAGTGTGAGACTTTTCAGCGAACTCTCTCAAGTGATGCGATGTTAGTCAAATCTAGCGTTCGGTTGTAACGCACCTCCTGATCAAAGTATTTACATTTCGTGCATAGGTCCATTGCATCAACGCTTAATGACTACGTCTTCCTATCTTGACACTTCAAAATAACTAGAACTCTTTTAGTCACGTTTTCATGAGGCTGGTCCTTGGCATCGTAATCAACGGGATCTCCACTGCTCGCAACTTGGGGTTTTCTTTAGGGTTATTTGTGTGCAAGTGCTTAGTGTTTAGGAAAACTTACATTTGACGAACATGGTTGATCTCACGGTATATCTAAAATTGCATGGTTCTGTCTGTCAACTCTAAAAAGGGCTCTATCATCATGCCTAGTGGCAATCAAAATCAGCGCACATGTTTAAACGTACATCGGCCGTTTCGTAGCGTTCGAATATCTTAAAACCAATGGACTGGCTTTAAAACTGATCCTGCTTCCAGAGGAAGCACTTTGGTCTATCCTCTGATTATTTGGCTAATGCCGAGTTTTTCTGTGTTTGTTCTTTAATAGATAATCTTTCGATTACGTAGCTCATAATTTTTGTTTGGCGCTTTATTCTCATCGAATACCATTCGAGGTTGTAAATGTTCGAGTTTTAATTGATTCCATGCTTAACCTAGTGGCGATGTCTTGCGGAGAAATTTGTCATACAAAACCTAAAAAATCAATTTTATGGTGAAAAAAAAATACTGCAATGCAATTAATGTGTGCTTGCCTACGTGGAATCATACAGAAATCTTTTGTTACTTCATTTGCGTTGCAAGTACTCCGTACATGCGTATTGTGCTTTAGCAGTTTCGTAAAACAAGCCTTAATTTTATGCTGACGATAGAATAGTTCTTGGGTGTTTTTAAGATATCCACCAACCACGCACTTTTTGAAACGATTTATCCTTATCGATTTCCCACTTGTAATGTTGAATTTATGTTTGGCTGTTTTAAGGACCTTTCAAATGAAATCTTCTGTCATGAGGTTGTGTTCGTTCCATCGGCTTCTCGATGGTAGGTCATAGCAATGTATTTTTAGTATCGTAATTGTTTCTATAATGCTCCTTATCTCGATACTTTTAAGCTTATGTCAAACCCTTCATTAGGTCATTGTTGGATGCAGTTCTGAGCCCCTCTCAGGTGTACATTTGTGAATGTCCATTCTTCTTGCCTCCATAAAATCACTACTTTTTAAGTCCTAGGGTTTCACTTACGTATCTGAAGTCGGTGTAGTGAAATCCATCACTTTCCTGACGCTTTTCTACCTAAGGTTGTTTTTCAAGGTTTAATATTCGCCATTTTTTCCCTGTAGTGGAGCTGGGGGGTTTGCAGCATCGCACGATCACCGTGACTTGACCATGCTCGGTCACCTCCTCTCTGAACTTTTCAACGCGGAGACTAGTTTGCCGGGTTCAGGCCCCAGCGGACGAGGTCCTTCCCCCCTAGGGCATCCCACAGCCCACCTTCTTGACTGTCTGCCTTACCGTGTGCCATTGGCATCGCCTCAAGCTTGTGCACCTCAGTGGGCGCTTGCCGTCCACCTGCTTCAACCGCCCATCGGCACGTCGGATGCATCTACTTTTCAAATTCCTTCTATTTACACATTGTCGTCAATTATGGCTTGTCTTAACGCAACTCTCGTTGCTTTGTGTAGGGTCCCAGAGGAAGTGGTAAGAGATCACGTTTGCTTGTCGTCTTGGTTAAACCGTGTTGTTGCCTGGTATTAGTTATTCATACTGTGCTCACTTAAGTCATTGAACACACACTTTGATGTGGAAATTCGACATTTTCCATCCAAGATTATATTAATACGAGGCCCAATGCCCTCCCAGCTATTTGCACTGATGACATGAAACCTGTACGCTAACGATACTCTTTGTTCCTAGATTATCCCTCCTTCGAAACCGGAAGACTTAACATTACTCTCCGAAGCTTTACCTTGCGATTGCTACGGTCTGGGTGAGTCTGTGTTATCCTTGGGCCATGTTTGATCGTACCTTTCCCAACTTTGACTAAGTCAGTAAATCGCCCTAGGTTAGTCCTAGCTACCATGCCAATTTTGGAATGTAGCTGCAATCAGCAACCAATCGCCTGTTGGGGATATAACATCCAAGGTTAACCCAGGACCGCCAAATCACATAAGAACCATATTTATCCCTTTAGAACGCATCAAACTTAACTAACTGCCCAGTCTACCGTTAGTAATTAGAACTAATGCTCGAAAGCTTCGCCCACCTCGTCCCTAATATGCGTAGAATGGAATGGTATGTTAAATAGCGAATATTAGACTAAACGTCTCTCATTGCTAAATTGGCTATCCTCGCTGTCGCTACGTACAAACATCCATAACTCTGTGATATTTTTCCTGCTTATTCGGCACGCCAACGATAAGCAATTTAAGGTTGGTGAACCTATGTACAAAACTTTCTACCTCATGCTAGTTTTTGCGATGGTAATTAAAAATTTTTGGGGGGACTTGCGTTTTAAATTAATCGCATTACGTATGTACGAACAATAGTCAGTTCTACGTATTCGTGTTGAGTAGGTCCATGCTCATGACTGTGTGTTTAGGAATGTGGAAAATGCTTTTGCCAAACATAAACGCTTATGCATTTATAGCTCTTGTGAGATCAGTGGATCCCTCAACAGGTCTAATCTATCTGACAACTGGCATTCCTAAGGACCGTTTGGCAATGGTCAACGCAATTCTACGAGGTCAAGTTGACCTTCCACATGTGTTGTTTACCGAACAGGTACGTACGAAAAGTCACCTTGTTGTATCGATGTTGTTTCAGTGTGTAAGAGGGTAACCTAGGTTGGCATGCTCCTATTTTTACTCATTGGTTGAAGTCCTTAACCATTTGCGCCCATTATTTTTCCAGGAAACTTTTAGTTGGAAAATGTCATCTGTCAAGTATACTGTCATGGTTTTATTACTTTCGTTTTTCAACAATTGATTTTTCCCATAAATTTAGCCCCTATCCTCAGAGGCCTTAATTTCTTACGTATCAGACCGCCAGCAACCCACTCTTCCGTACCTGGGTCCTGCTCGTTCGCAGGGCGCCGGCAGAACGGCCATTGTGACTCGTCGCTATTATCCTCGCGTAATGCATCACCATAGTAACGACTGTACAAATCCTCACGGCTTTCCTCGGTGACGGCGAGGTCAACCACAGATCTGAGAAGTTCTTGGCATTGTGCTTCTTTGTAAATTGGCCGATCCCATTCGCTACTTTCTGGTTTTATAGCTGGCGCGGTTTGTTCTACATAAGTAAATGAATCATTGATGTCTGTGACAAGGTTTTTTAACCGTACACTAAATATAAAACACGGGGACGTAGGTAAACAAACGTCTTCTAATAACGACTTTGTTCCTTACAGACTTACAAGGACTTGATCTGGGAGTTAAGGTTTAACGACTAGGGATGAAACATTGCATTTTATAGCCCTTCCTGCCATCACACGGGCAAATGGTTTCCTCCGTTGTAAAGTGTACACACAGCTTTTCCCTAATTAAAGTGTACTTATCTGGCCAGCGGGCCATCTGCATTTCCATGAAGGATAAACAATCGGAAACAATACGTTATCCATTCTCGCTAACAAATGCACATGGAAGCCTCGGAGAAGAATTTATTTCGCATGCGGACGTTGTGCAACGACCCTTTGCGACTTGAGTAGTTAGGCTGTTAGCGAAATCATGCAAAAGGTGCTTAGGAGCGCTAGTTGCATCTCGGCAGCCTACAAACGTATCTCAAGGAAGGGCACAGGGCGGGGATTGCGCAAAATAATTGATGCCCTCCTTAAATCCAGTCTTGTAGAATTTTTGCTCCGAGCAAAAACACTATCTGAGAAACTAACACTCAACTGACTTCTTTGCGTCAACAAAACCCTTTGGTACCAGTTTTACTTCAGGGAGCACTGGAAACAAACAGTCTAACCTGTCGGTGCTGCTATGTAAGTTCACCGAGGCACCGAAATTAGTAGGACGAAATTTTACCACAGATAATTTGATCAGACTCAACAATGCCACTTATGCGAAAGTTAAGGAACGCATATCCCCAGACTCCTGCTCGTTAGGGAGTGATCCTGTTGAATGAATGATATCATGACCTTGAGGTGCGTTCGGTGCAAATATTGAAACCATAGCATCAGGCTTACTAAAATGCATAAATATACTATAAAATAAAAAAACTCGTCTAATTAACTTCCATTTTGAACAACAACTATTAAGAATCTAGACGTATTAAGCATCGCACTTGTTACTCCACTCAAAAATAGGCACACGAAGCTACGATGTTTTATCTCCTGTATTGAGAAAGCGTAACAAAGCCGCTATTTTAAAGCGAGACAGAGATCAGAGGAAACATGATCTCAATCAATCCTTCATTTCTACACACTTGAAAGGTCAAAGATGGAAAACGGTAGCCAACCAGACACAAAGATAGATGAGAAGCGAATGTATTATGGAGGGCGCAGTCGATATGGGTTAATCATTTGGACCGATGCTGATGAAAGCTTCTGGCTTCTAAAAAGCCAATTCCGTTACACTAGCGATTGAGAGTTCTACACATACGTTCCGACAGAGGTCTTAGCCACATTGGAGCAAAGTAAATGCTCATTCGATACGTGACGTCTTTGATTGAACGACGAGGAAACTCGAAAGCAATCAAGTGGCAAGCGTAGATATATATCGATTGCATCGGCAAAAAAAGACGAAATCTCAGATCTAGTAAGTTTGCTGTCAGCCAATAAAATAACCAAAGACTGTCTCGAAGCATTACTAAGACGTGTATATGGCAGATAATTGCCTTGATACCGAGCATGATTGCGACCTTTTGTCGAAACTGAATCAGAACCCAACAGAAGCGTCCTTCGGTTTGAGCACCAGGGGTATTTGATCCCAAAGAAAGATCCCATGGAATGCGGTTGTGTGATCAAAGACTATCTTGATTTGTTTGGCTAAATGGAATATTCAAAACGCATTTTGCTCTGTGATTACTCAAGGGGACCACTCTACCAGTGGGTAAATTGTAAATGGTGCTCAGCGAAAATCACAATTAAAACAACGACTGTCCCAAGAATTGCTAAACGGATCTTCCACTCCCTCCTCCCCAACCAATTTGGGCATCGTCAAACGCAAGTGAGGGAAGGGGTCGAATGTTAAAGGAATCGAGGGGCATGGTCCAATTTCGAGCGGGATGAGGAGATAATCGTTCGATTACTTCTACATTCTATTATTTCCAACGTTTCCCGTCACGCTTCCACTTGCTGGTCTTATACCAGAGAACCATCGGGACATCGCTACTTCTCCTAGGCTTGGCTGGTAAGAGAACAGGAATTTAGCGGGCAGAACAGGAATTATTTGGGTTTCTTCTTGAGACTCATTCAGTGTTCCTATTTTCCTGAGGAGTCTTTAAAACTCCGTTAGGTAGTTTCAAGTGTCTGTCAAAATGCTTGAGGTGCTGCTTAGCCTGGTTTTTCCATCCCTATAATGCTGATTAATTGTTTCTGAAAAAGACCATACCATCTTTTGGCAACTTTGAAATTCAATCTAGGCCCTAGTAACTTCTAAGTGCTGCCATTTTTGGGAAGCTTGCATCCTCGAACTACCACCTACATAACCGCCTCCTGCTGTGACTGCTGTCGTTACTGCGAGTGCATGCAAGCTGACTTGTCTCGAGCTTGATCGGTGACATTGTTCCAAGAGCCCGACGGGCTAGTCCTGTTGGCCGGACCCCTCAAGGGTTTCCTCCAGGTCGACGATATTTGCATTGACAGATGCGTTTGAAATGACATAAGGCTTGTCGAATTTCCCCGAACGCTGTTTCTTTGACAAATGCTTCACACCCCTAGATCCGAAATTGGCATCTCCCATGGGCACCATTTGCAAACCTTCTTTCGGTTTTGTGAGACCCTCGACGGTCAAGTCTTCGCAATGGGACATACTCGGATCATTTTCTAGTACACTATTCATTGAACAGTATACGTATGCGGCCACGCAATTATTCGCGTTTTCTGGTTTGGAAGTGCGATCACCATCAATGAGATGTATTAGGGTGTAGTGTGATCTGTGGTGGCTTGTGGTCTAGCACTACCTTACAACCCAGAAAAGCAATCAGAAATGAAGGCTGTGCACTGGATCATGCTGACTTACATCCACTAGCCCAGTCGCCGCACACTCTGCCTCGCCACCCTTTCCCTTTTTACGGCATCCCTATCGATCATGCGGAACCGCTTGTTCATGCACCCCTGTGCATGTATCTCCCAGGCAACTCATTACATTCAACTGGCTATGTAGTCATTCGTGCATTTGCATGTTCAGCCAGACTGTGTTGATCGGCAACCTCTATTAGTCAGACACGACTTTTACGCACAGTGGCACGACGCACACAACTCGGTTGAGACATCTAATAAACGGTTAGGTCTCCATCTCTCCTCGAGTCACATTTCTCTCTTGGGTGCTCCATACTGTGTCTTGCCACAGTAGAAAAACGCTCTGTGTTTTTGCGGATGGTGTGTGGCACAATAAGAGAGCCAATCCAGACAAATTTGCGCGATACTTAACGGTCATTTTGGTACAAATCAGCCTGGCGAATTTCGCCGTTTCTAACGCAACTAATAACTCTGGACGTGGAATTGTAGTTTCTCAGAGAAGAGCATTTCTAGCCTTTGAAAACACTGATCAATGTTAGGAAGTTGTTCTTCTTTCTCGAATAATGAAATTAGGCGACGACACCATAAAAGAACTCAGTGGCGTCAATATATGCCCGCAGTTGAAAGGCAGGATTCTCCATTGACATTAATGATTTGAAACATCGAGGAATGAAGAATTTTTCAAGCTCGGGTACCGCGTTCAACTACACGGTTCACAATCCGAGTTTCTAACCGGCAATCTCCTCGACCTGTTAAAACTAAAGTCGAAACGGATTTTTTCAGACTTTTCTTACAAGTAGTGCCACGGAAGCTAGGCAACCCATTGGATCGAAAAAGATGAGACGTAAAAAATATGATGTCTTCTAGTGATGGAAGTTGCTATTGATCGCACATAATAAATGGCTCCATCAGTGTGCATCTCAGAATCTGCATCTAGCGTTAGTTGTATTGATCGGTTCGGGTAGTCTGAGTATATGGATGAAATCAAAGAGTCACCTGTAGGTGTCGATTCTACTACCTTAGAGATATTGATCCTTTGTTTTTTTAAGTTAACGACTCCTTCTTTCAACAGTGCGTTTATTTTCAGCGAGAACTAGACGGCGTCAGTTTAATTTCTCACACACACAAGGCATTCCTCTGCGTAGCAGCATTGTCCAGCCTCGCGTTGTCAGTTACTGTGCGATGGAGGAATAATTAAGCACAGCTTGGAGAAAACGTGGATTCTAATTAATGCACCGTCATGATATGCACCCTAGGATATCGCAATGGGTCGCCGTTTATCTGCCAAAGAATTTGTAAAATTGCTCGACCTCTGGCCTTAACACGCAGTTGATGGAAAATCAGTTCAGTTTCAGCCAAAATGCGGACTTGTTTTCGTACAACACCTTCAATTGAACACCAACATGTGGATACATTAGATCAGGTCCTGACAAGAGCTGCTCATTTAGAGTGTTCACAGAATTCGCCCGCGTAGTCAATACTACTCGAACATTGTTTGCTTTGTCGGGGGAAAAACAGGGTGGCAAGGAAGATGCCACGAGTTGATGGCACTCCCACTTAAAGACTCTTCAACGTATCCTTTTTCCATATATTTATTCCTTGTTTTCGAGTCATTTACATCAACTCGTGCAATCGTTGAATACGTTCACTGCGATGTTTGAGAGGCTGCATTGCAATAAATTTGCTGTTTGGAATAGTTTCAAATTAAAGTGCACAAGGTAGAGGAAAACGTGCAAAGACCATCTAGGGAGCTAATTGACCATCGCGTAATCTTTAATGCATTGGAATTTTGCTTTAGTATTGTGTCTTATACAAACGCATGTCTTCGGCAGTCACTTAATGACTTTAAAACAGAAGTCAGTTGACGATTGACTTGATCGATTGTCGAATTAGCAGCTAATTCAATCAACTAGAAACAGGCCATGCCAACACGAGCTTCCATTAACCTAGAGAAACCGTCAAGGCGTGATACCTTTCTACGTTTTAGCGTTTTTAGCATCTTAGTCGATTTGAACTAAATTTGAATTGGTAGCATTTAACGGGAGCCTCGTTAATTCTATGAGTATAATGGTCGGATTCACAGTTCATTTGTATCCGCGCGACTACACAAGCTTGCGTCCATTGGCATAACCTGGACAAAACTTCGGTATCATCATTCCTTATCAGGAGACCATCTGTCAGTCCATCATTAAACGCTCTAGCTACCATAGGATATTGTCCTTACCTTTTCCATAATATTTTGCAATCTTTAGCCCTTCGTCAGCATGCTTAATCGAGCAGTCTTCTGAAGCATCCCTAAATTTTCCATCGTACTACCAATGCTAGTTGGGTAGACATTTTGTAATATCGTTCGCCCCATATTTGTTGAAGGTCCCGGCATGTGGTCTCGAATTAGAAACGGAACGTTGGGTCATATTGGCCCGATTACGCTGCACAGATACTCGAGAAGACTAAGGAGATGAGAGATGGGGGATACAGGACCGGTTATTTGACATGTTAACCAAGTTATTTTGTAGTAGTAGTTGTTGTTGTTGCTGGGTGTTGAAAGCTGTGTGTGTGCGTTTGAACGATAAACGTTGTGACGGATACAATTTGGGTGAACTAGCAGAAATACAAGTGACTGAATGGTCAGGTAGGTGAAACGAGTAGTGGGGGAGGCACGAGCACTGGGGTGGATGAACAGATGGTTCCTTCATGATTGATAAAGGCGTTGTGAAAAGAGCCGTGTCGGAACACGAGGCAACACGATTACCCACACCGATCCGTGTAATAGTTATATAAGGTCATGGTATGCTTTTGGATACCCATTGATTTCCATATCAAAATATCAGGTGAACGCGGGAGATAATTAACAGATAGGTAGGAAGGGCTTTCGCAAAGTGCCTCGTCCATAAACCCTTCTTGTTCCAATCTTTCCAGCTTTTATATTTAACGTCATCCACTGGATTTGGCTTTAATCTCTCTCTCTCTCTCTCTCTAACTGTAAATGCTGACTTTCAACTAACGAATTATTAGGTAAATAAGAGAATCCTATTTATCCTTGTAATCGTTCATATTAATCGATAAGTTAGTACACAAATCTCATATGCGAAATTGTGATGCCCACGATAGACACACGACAGAACAATAGCATCCATTACTAGCGATGTTTCGATAACAAAATGAATAATTTCGTGAGTAAATGCAGATGTAGGAAGGATTTTTCATAAAAGTTTCCCATGTTGAATAAGAGACTATTCCACGTCCAACAACTGAAACTCACATGATGTCTATGAGTGCAATTTATTGTAGAAAAATCGACCCACGTTGTTGTGGGTATTTCACACTCGCAGATGCGTGCAGTGATGCCAGGAGCATGTGGCACTTGAAAATGGAGTGTTAGTAAAATCTCAAAGATTTGTACCGATGTTATAAACGTAAAATAATGTGTTTAAAATTTGGAAATCATTTTTTCTGAGCCTTGTTTTAACACAGATGATTATTTGAAGGATGTATAGTCGATGTTTACCTAAAATCCGCCGATATCTTTCGTTCGAATCTCTCCAACCTGCATTTCACGCCAACTCAAACTTCCTGGTTTTATAATCGATTTTGTTTTGTAATGTAATTTGAGTACCTAATTGTAATATGCATTACCTAAGCGTAACAAGCAGCAACTGCACCCTCATTTGGTTCAACTCGAGATTTGTTCCGCGCTTTTTGGTTTAACTAGGTTGTACCCGAACCTATCGTGTCCGACGCCCCAGTTTTTGTTAACAGCTCTAGCAGACCTGCTCTGGTAAGCCCAACTAATTTAACGCCCTATACAACTCTTCTGCTTGTAATTTTGGCTTAACAGCACTTGCTCATAATATGTCTTCACCCTAAAATTCGTGACTGCTTAGCATGAAAATAGTTATTGAATTGTCAAGAGACGACGTCTTCCTTGATGCGCGTGACAGCTTCATTGCATAGTAATACCATTCTAGGTATTCAGCGCGTTTACGCTCTATACTCGAATGTGCTCGGTTCGAACCATACAAAAATCTGGTGCTCCTCTTTGTGCTTGCAGGGGCATACGTGTCTGCAGCCTTTGTGAACAGGAAAAACACACCAGTGGATTATTAAAAGTATGCTTGTAATTCCGTCAATGTGTTTAGAATTCGAGTGAATTCGTTCAGCTCGCCTTTTGTAGCCAATGTTCAAAGGCCTTTTCTGATGAGTCTCCCGGGAAGCCCGCGTGCCCAGACCACTCGGACGGTTTCAAATTCTTCGGGATTACAATACTTGATGAGTTTCTATCTGAGGAGGAGGAGGCTGATTTGATTCGAAAGATTGATGCATCACCGTGGGTGCCATCACAATCAGGAAGAAGTAAACAGGTACATTACTGCGATGTTAATGCTCGAAGGCGTTACTCACTGTTGGGCGGACGTGACTTGGTGAACGCACTTGCGAATTTTATGCGTGTCATGAAAACAAGCTGGTTTTCAGGAAGCACTTCAGACTAATCACCATGACCCAACTTATAGGATTACGGCGCCAAGGTCAATTTTAAGAAGAGACGGATTTCTACGAAATACTTCACCGGTCTCCCAGATTACAGCAGGTCCTTGGTTGAAAGGTTGCACCATAGAATGCGCAACAATGGCGCGCGATTTAAGGATTTCTACCCTGTCGAACTATGCAACTTAGAGTATCTTCCTGAACGTGGGGCCGCAATTGTCCCACACCTTGACGATACCTGGCTCTGGGGCGAGCGTTTGGTACTACTCAACCTAGCGTCCCCTACAAGGATGACGTTCACACTTCCCGCCAACGGTCCCGGCGTCCCAGGTGAATGGGAACGATACAAAACGTTTGCAGCCTCATATCTACCGCCATCACAGGCAAGTTATCATGTGTCAGGGGTAAATTTATCGAGAATTAATGTCACATTTAAGAGAAGACGCCCGATGTCATCTGTTGTTTTTACTAGTTGACCTTATTTGACTAGCATGGACGCCTAAGTCTTTTGAGGACTGCTTTTGTCGTTTAGGCTGGTCTCCCTCCCAGTGTCGCGGTGAGCCTCCCACGTCGTAGTCTCTTAATTATAGCTGATAAGGCCCGTTTTACTTGGCTTCATGCAATAAATCGGAATGAAGTCCTGATGCGCCGCCTTTCATTGACTATGCGTGAATTGAGCAACGAGTTTCTCGGTGTAGTTCGTTATCACGTACACAAATACCACCTTCCACTCTTAGAACCAGCAGTGGATATGCATACGTATGTCTCCTTGGGTCTTACTAATAAGGCAATTGTTTGGGACTTCAGGAGGTCAGCGCTAAATTCGCTTTTTTCGATACGCACTATTTAGTTAGACTATTAATTTTTTATTTGATATAAATGGAACAATACGATATCCACACAAAATTTAGCATGACTGGGAGCTCGCAATTTGTAAGAAAATCAAACGCCTAACTAAACAACCACAATTACCCAAAAAACCATGTGTTTAGAAGAAATACACATAAATGACGAGTATTAGAGGATAAAAGTTTGCGACTTTGTTCCTGGAAAAAGGGAAACCAAGGGGAATATCAGTGTGTCTGACTTGTGAATGCTTCACTGATTTGATTTTAGGTCAGCACAAATCCTTATTAATCAAACGTGTTTTCATTCCTGTGCATCAGCTGCCTAAGCGTCGTTTGGTAAAAAAAATAAATTTTGTAGCATCTAAGAATGTACTCGTTTACTAATAAGGCCTAATCTTACTTAAAAGGAGGGGTAAAAGTGGTATTTCACTTTCCATTCGGAAATGACTCAGACATCTTCCGAGGTCATGTTTAATTGCAATGAGACCTTGACTTATTGAAAGTTGCATGAACTTGGCAGTAGACATGCTCAGGTTATTGGCAACCTGATGACAGTGGATTATCATTTACTGATTGCGTATTTAGACTCATAAATAGAGGGCTGGCCTTGCAGTATTAATGCCCGTCGACAGCAAGTTTATCATTTCTCGGTTTGAAGACTAATTTAAAAACATATCGACTATTTTGGGGGCTGTTGAGGCAGCCTTAAAGCAGCCGACAATCTTGTGGCTTTACACACAGGTGCACACACAGACTTTGTTACATTCCCTGGGCATTTTCGTCCAGAATGAGGCTTTGCCTAGGGGGTGGATTGGGGCGCCTGAAAACAGTATCTCTTTGACACAGTAAAGATGAGCTTGGTGCAAAGGTACTGGCGGTTTTTTTAAATACGCGTGTTTCAGATACTATCTACTCGAGTTGCACTTTGAGTTGCAAAGGTTTATCCCAAGTTCAGCAAAGGTAATGTCCACAAATAAATGCCTTTTTATTCCTCTCTCCGTTTTAAATTGAAATGTATACAGGCATAACTACTCCATCAACCAGCTGCCTCCGTAATTTTTGTTTTCGTGATAAACAAGGCACTTAAATAACCACCTTCAGTTTAAATCCCACGGTGTTGTTGGCTAGCTGCCGACTGCCATAATAGGCTTTTCACAATCTGTACGTCGGATGGCTGTTTCTCATTATAAATTTGCTTTATTACTTGATAAAAATAACCTAGTAGCGCGTTTTCAGCTACTTTCTTTATATCACTTCCTCTAATATCTTATTTGTCACAAAATGCCTATGACAGTGCGCATTGAGGCCACAGGAGAAAAAGCCACCTTCATTACTTTCCGCCAGTCGCCATACAAAATTTGAATGTCATTACACTTTTCTTGTCGTGTTACGGATGAACCACCCTGTATCTGCACGTCGGTTCCGAGAGTGTGAGGCGACATTTGTGTATGTACAACGATGTACTAACAGCAACGATTAATTAAAAACCCAACGCTTTCTTCTTTCCACGTAAATTGTCCCGATTTTAAACTAATAACTACAAAAGTCACGCATTGGTGGTACCTTGGCATCAGTAATCATTTTGACCTTGTTGTGAAATGCCTTGTATGTTTTTACTACTTGAAGAGCTTACCCGTAAGAATACAATGAAAAAGATCTAATTTTTTCACACTAAGGGCATCCACATTGAAAAATAAGAACGTCCATCTCGGAGACATTGAATATTACCTGCGTAATTACTCTGCGACTAGGGGGTTTGTTGCAAAATCGACTCACGCGTTCCCGACTAACACACAACCCTGAATACATTAAGTTCATCCGCTTAATGTCCACTAATACCGTTCTCTATACACGGTGGGGTACGGTTTTACATCCCCGAATTTCGTAACACACTGTGTGTCTGGACCATGCTTTTCTTTCCAATGTCTTAAAGGCACCTGAAAGTGTAAGGCTGAGTTTTGTAATGACGAGGTTTTGGCTATCAGCACGCGGACATTTCGACCAGGCATGAGAGAGCACGAATTCAATTAATTATCTTGAATGTACTCACTGAAGCGAGGCTTGCTTTAGGAGAGCGAGGGTCGACCGTGCCTATTTGAACTAACGCCTTTTCGCGCTGAAGGTCTGCCCTCTAAGCCACGCAATAAACGCCTAGCCTCCATCATTTTAGTCCCGTTTCTTCTTTGGGTACTTTGTGCTGCGTCTTGCCACAACAAACGGCGTCAAGTTCTGGAGAATATTATAACTTTAATTTTTAAGGGATCAAAAATGAAACGACTGGGATGGCGTGATACAGTGAAACAGACAGGAAAAGTGCAATTAGATTAGAAAAAAATTGCAAACAAGCACAAGAGTTGGATTCCACATTGGTTTGGTAAATCAGCGCTTGATGGCATGCAGAGCAGTGTGTTCAGCAGCCTTCCTATAGAATGTGGCGCGATCCTTCTGATATTCTTCAGCAAGATCGGGGCGAAGGGGGTGCTGAATTTCGGGGTTCGCAACCAAAGCCTGAAGCATCTCAATCACTTAAAAAAAGAGTATTAGCATTCATTTCAGAGTTATACTGGGTCTCCGACAAAAAGCCTTTTCGATTGCAGTGAATCTGCCACGCATTCGGCAACCTCGGTTTCTAGTGTTACCATGACACTGCGATGCTTGGAACTGTAACTACTTCAAACTACGCTCATTTACAGGGTCAAGTTGGGATAGAATTAAAAAAGTACACTATCTAACGACTGGTTTAATTATATATTGACATAAAAAATCTAAAGAATCACTTGCTTCATGTTGATTGTTTTCAGACACCTCTCTAAAGATAGACAAAGCTATAAAGTGATGTACACTTCAAGGATAGATGTTCATCAAATGACTGCTGAAAATATGACAAATGAGGGACTAAAAACGTTTACAGCGCAAACTCCTCTATCGATCAAAGTGCTTTAGAAAACGCTTACGCTCCAGACTAAGCAACAGCCACACAAGAAAATTATTGTGGGCAAGAAGATAAATTCATTCCAACAATTTCACATTGCACTACTTACCACAACCTATCGTTGTTGTGGGTTTCCAATTCTCTCGGGAGATCACTGGAAAACATATTTGACCCTTTTCGTCCACATTGGGGTGATAAATTTGGGTTTTAAAAACGAGTTTCGGTGGCTTGAAAGGATATTCTGCACTGAAGTTGATTAAGATTTTGAAAGCACCCTTATCGTAGGGTGGGCTATCCTATCACAAAAAGCATTAGATCTGGATATTACACAAAGTTAAGCAGGTAATAATAAAACGATGCATGGAATAACGTGTGATGCATGTCGATTAAGCATCCATTAATTCGACGTTTTACATTTGTGGACCGCAAGACGCATTCACTTGAATCAAAAAGGCAATTTAAATTTACATCAAAGTGATAAATTAAAAGTTCACGAAATAGCCTGTGTGTTTTGACTGTGCATGCCATGCCTGAATAGCCAAATAATTTAACAAGCATAAGCATGTACTAAGTTCAACACACATAAAATTAGCAGAAAGTATTCCCATTCATCACGACGCAAACTTGCCACATTACGCGTCTAAGAACAAGTGAACTTACTCTAACACAAAACAATAAATCAGTCAAATATGCAATATTTAGCAGAACGTTACACCACTGGCGACAAAAGAGGCTAAGGCATGTTGTTGAAAATAACACTCCTTACTAACTAGCATCAAGTGCATTTGTTTCAGCTAAGCTTGTTAAATCTTATCGAATGTCTATCCTTTAGACCACAAATTCACCACTTTACCTACAACGTGGAGGAACAGGAGCTGCCACCGTTGCTTCTGACTTCGAGTGTGGCCATTCCGTTAAGAAAAATAATGGCAAATTAGGTGAAGTTGATCATACTAATTCACGAACAACGCCTGCTGGCTTAGGTTTCAGCCTGAAAATTTTCTGGTCTGTATGAACAATAAAGGTGGTAGGGATCTACCAGAAAAGCGTGTTTACATCAACAAGTAAAGGATTATAAGATCAGAAGAAGGTTAATAAAATCATTGAGAGCTAATACAAATTAAAGGCCGCCATTCCATTCAATAAATGGCGAAAATGAGTACTAAATACAGCCTACAGGATAAAGCAGTCCAGACCACGATGTCATGTTGTCTTCCGGGTCGTCCATTTTGAAGAAATCCTTAACAGGCGACTCCTTCAGGCTTATGAGTTCCTGTAGAGAAAATTCTGTCACATAGTAAACTTATGTGAGTGTTATATCGGATAAAAACGTAATGTGAACTCCCAATCTGCATCCCCCTTCTAAAAAAACGTTCAGTTTTCACTAGAATTTCTCTAAATAGTGAAGGAGCGCAAAATATAGATGAGCAAGCGTACAAGTGGATATACAATCATTTAAAAAAGTAACTAAATAACACGTATAAGAAACTCGAATCAGTACATTTCAAAAAGCATGAGTTACTGTAGCAGTAGCTTTTACTACTTTCGATTGAAATGATAGGGGATATGGTATATTTTATTTTTTAGAATAAAACTTAAATACTGTTTAATTTCTAAACCGTGGTTAAGGTTTATTTTGTGATTGAAAACGAACGTACCTTTTGCAAACGTCTTGCTAATGCGGACATAGTTACAATACTTGATATCTAGAAGAAAAAAACTGGGTTAATCATAACGATATTTGGGTAGATTACACACCGCCAAGATCTAACACATGCACAGAGACAAAAGTCATCAGAGAGATTGCACAATGTGGTGGCACTTACAGCACAACAAAAGACCTTGAAGACATGACTAAAACACTCCGCAGAGCGGTAGAAATAAGATATAATTAACAGACCAATTTGGATTTTAGCAGGGATGGTATTTCAGTTTGAACTAAACAAAAAATCTGAATAGTCATTTTTTTGAGTTCTTAGTGCATAATTTTGAACATAAATTAGAATTTATGACGACTAACAGAAATCAAGGATCAAATAACTACATCCTTAGTTGTAACATTTTGTGAAAAGTCATTTAAGTAGTTTGGTGGCTAGTATATAGCGGTATGGCACATGACAACAAAGAGAAGTTCAAGTGTGTTTAACAAGTTCGCTGGATTTCAAATTAAGAAAAGAAATAAATTGGATTCATTTAACATTGTTAGTACTCTGGGGTCTAAATGCTTTTTGTTAAAAGAACGTAGTGACATCCAAAAGTAGGATTGATAATAGCAACTAAGATTTCCATTAAGAAATTTTAGATATTAGCGATTTAACGTTCGATCGCCTTATTCAAGGAGATGCTTTTCCACAGTTCCAAAAGAATCCGCGTTGTATACCAACAGACAATGGACTGTTTAACTACTACATACAAACCAGACAAGATACCTGCTTGTATTGCACAATAGTCTCGGTGAAAACTTAATCTCTGCAGTTACTAACAATGGACGATTTTACCAGCTGAGGTAAGGCGGGCTTGTTATCCTCCATAAGAATTTATCCAGCTCGTAACATAGGAAGGCACCGAGATCCGAACGTTGAGTAACACAATTCCGTATACTTGAACGGCATCTAAAGCCTCGAATATGAACTTTTTTCTAAATTCACGACCAAAGCATATGTGGAATTTAAGACAAGTGTGGAAACATTCATACACTTGAATGATATCCCAGACGTTAGTTTTAATAGTACGAGGAGGATCGGCACATATTTATATGGTCATAAATGTACTGGAATTACCAATGACGATACGTTACTATTTTGTTTACGTGTTTGTCGAAATTGATATGCTTGTGTCTGGAAGCAAAGTACCAAACTACTTTTACGAAACGGGTGCAAGGACAGAAAAATTCGACCTCAGTACAAGTTCGTGGCCAACGTGTAAATCAAAAATCAAGTCAATCAACAGGCACTTTATGCTAATCGATCTCCATAAAACTTAAACGATAACTGTGAGAAGACACGAGGGAAAATAGATCAAACACGGATTTCTGTCGGCATGCTAAATACAAATTTTAGAAGCTGCAATATGACTTTACATGCTTACGAGCACACACGAAAAGAAATCACTGTGTGGAAGCATCTTTACAAAGCAAAATTTGGCAAAATAATTACTACCTTAACAATTGCGGACGCAATCAACTTAAGACAAAAGCCTTAAAAAGGTAAAAGGCTTTAAAATTTTAAGGAATACCCTTTAACACGAACGTACACCAAAAAACTATGCAACAATGGTGTAACTTACCCACACTCGAACCAACTCTGACAAGCACCAATCGGAGCGAAGAGTATCAGACATTAAATCATTGATACCATACTATATCATTGACACTTCTTCTGTCTAACTAAACGGCATAGCTCAGCAATGAGAACAAAGCAAAGTTAAATATTAAAAAGGAGAAATCTTATTAATTTCGGGATAATCCAGGTGATTCCTGCATATGGTACAAATGTGCTTGCATTAGAATTGGGCATTCGTTTATTGACACATAATGCTTTATTTCGAAAAAATCGGGTAGACTCTTAAAATTGTTTGGAAGAGTCGTAAAATTAATTCAACAAATCATATTACTAATTTATATAATAATTCACCGTGATTATAACTTGTCTGACAGGCTAATTTGGCACATGAAATTTGCAGCTGTCATGTCATTTACTATCACGTAATTCTGCTGACCAAATGCATGAGATTACTGAATTTATATCATTTTGAGTATTACAAGTGCATTGCTGATGTTTCAATTAAACCGTAATGTAGATTGAAGAGCGAACGCTAAATATATACAATAAATTCCCTCACTCGTAAATTCCATAGTACCTTAAAACTGGTATAACCAGTGAATGTTGGTTTATCAGATACCTTAAAAAGATACGCTCTTTTTAGGAATTTTCACACACATTAATAATAAGACTCATATAGCCAAAGGCATTGAATGCAATGAATGTACCTTGAGCAAATGCGATTAAAATTAAAATTAAATATTTGATCAGCATCAGCCTAAAGTATTTATAGAGTGGAATTTTTAGCTAAGTAACGCCCGTTTTTACGGAGTGAGATGCTGAAGTTCATATAACACGTAGTTACATCCATTAGGTTAATGTACAATTACGAATAGCCAGATTATTGCCAACGGGCCACAACGCACAGCAAACGTCAAGTCTCAAGTAATTACTCGTTATTAATTACGTTTAATGTACCATTGGAAATCTACTAGTTATAATTTTGATTCCGTTGGGAACTATGTTTATATAAACAAGTTAGCAGATGGTTATGTGCGTACACTTAAATACACCAAATAACACAAATTGCGCTGTTTCATTAAGAAGCAGAGTAAAATCCGGACTTTATTTATAGAACGGTCAAATTCAGATATGTACGTGAGCTGCATTATTAAATCTCTTAGGGAGTTTTTTCGTTATGGACAACCCACATGTAACACAAAAATGCTCAGGTTCAAGAAACACCTCCCATATAAAACTATTCCTTATCATGAAACTGTTAGGTAAGGAGGGACAGGCAGTAGTGAGCGATAGTAATAGGATTGTGCATTAATTGTTTTTTTAGGTAGATCTGACTTACTACATCGTTTCGTTGTGCAGATTTCATGTCGCAAATATTTCAAAACGACCTGGCTAAATCCTCTTAAAGTTCGTGTGGTACGAAGTTCTCGTCAAGGAATTGATGATATGACATGTAAACTACAAAATGGTTGTCGCTATCTGTAAACCGACACGCAAATCCATCTCTTGTAGCATCTCGTCTTTCAACATGCATTGTTAGTAATCTCTAAATTCTTAACACAATTACAATTGACACTGTTATGAAAGCTGATATTTTTGTGTTCCCTTTTTTCTGGTCTTGTTGTTACAGTAATACCTAAATTCCTCTATGAATTATAGTAACTATATTTATAGTTGTGTCAAAAAACATAGATGAAATTAGTGAACTGACAAGAAACACTCTTAATTGATATCATTACTATTTGTACAAGCAATAATTGCGTATTCCCCTTGTTTTCAGTATTCACCTTTTGGGTCCATATTTTTAAATTCTTGTAAACAATAATAAAATCACATTTTACATGGACCCTAATAGTCAAATTTTTAAACTTATATAAAGTGTGAAATCGATATTTGCATACCTTAATATTTTCATCACGACTTAGTTTTCCTCTTTTTTTACTATTAACAAAAATACGACACTGTGTCTAGTAAATATTCCCGACAGAATTTATCAGAGCGCTAATTGAAGCAAGGAATATCTTTCGTGTCTCGACCGTCACGATTAATTTCGAAAATCCTTTAAAGCGATAGCTCATTTTCACGAGTTTCTACATCAATCTAGCTAGGCATTGCCAATGGAAGACCGCTACAGCAGAACGAGGTTTATTGACCAAGCCAACCACTCCGGCTGCGTCGCCCATCATTTACTGCTTCTCATCAGTCATTTTCTCTGGGTGTCTACAGATCTTCCTCAAAGGCCACTTAAACGCACCCAGCGCTTCGTGTTTTCCACCAAATCTGCGCATTTGTACTTCACTACACTAATCATTATCAAGAAACGGTGAGATTGATTGATGAAATATGGCATCCCAAATTTACAGATATCACATTAACAATTAGCAAACCAGGAACTGAAATGGTTTGATCTAATTGATTCTGCCCTGAAATATCGAAAATACACGTGGATGTGCTAATAAACAAACTGAGCTCTTTTATGCATCGAAAAACGGTGTCATACTATTAAATATTTTCCTATTTCCCCCTACTCTCTATAAAATCATTGTCAATCCAGAAAAAAAACAAAATTGAGCTCCGTTTACTGGTAGCTAGTGTAAAACTTGCTGCGGCATGGAATAGAGCCACCATATGCCACGGTGTCATTGGTCGAGGGCGAATAGCACGGCGTGATGGTGGCGTCTTGTGACGGGGGGCACGACATCCAGGTTCGTGGTGTCATGTGGAGATTGAATAGCGCGCCGAGAACTGAGAGCCAAATCATTCACGAGTTTTCCTTCTCATTTGCAGCGCCTAGGAACGAACCAACGGGAGGCTAAGATGACCGGGACGAGGCTATATAAAGACCCTGTTTTCCTCTATGATGATACTCATTCTGTGGCTATTTTCAGTCTCCGTTAAAGCCGCCCATATTCTCTTGTTCTCACCTTGGTGTCGAAACGTACAAGCTGAGTTTCGAATTTTAAAAGACACGCGCATAACTTCTAAGAAACTGAAAAGTCGTGTTATAGTTGATTTGGTTTTGTCAGATGGTTCAATAAATATCTAACCATGGGCTCGTGTCGATGTGGCATTGGTTAATAATCAGGTAAAGTAAATACCGCACAGGCGCCAATCATCTTCGGTCTTCTTGGGGTTAAATACAGTACTTTTAGCCAGTCAACGTTTGATCAGCCAGCCACTCCGAGGTGTAGCAAATTTTGGCATTCACACTTTCCCCTTGGAGAAAGTCGACTTGTCCATGCCTTGACCGTAGGGTCATTAATCAAATTTTTGTGAGCAGTTGTGCCTCAACCTTCGGTCTGCCCTTGGGTTGGGTTAGGTGGGACTAGATAACTTCGAATCAACTTCAGGCAGTCATTCGTATCAAATGACATATAACGACGAGGGTAAACTAGGTGTTCGATTGG